GCAAATCACCTGTAATGGCTACATGGACACACAATTCTCACTATATTCAGCATAACTGTATATATTGCACACACCATGGACACATAACAGCTCTACTCATATTGAGTTTTATTCCATTTCAAAAATGTAACCTCAATTTTGTGATTTTTGTATTCTTGTGAATTTTTGTGATTTTTGTGATTCTTGTAATTTTTGTGAGCTCGCAGAAAAAGACATTTCATTGCCAGCAACTACTGCTGAACACCATATTGTTGTGCATTTGATAAATACACTTTGATTTGATTTGATTTGATTACCCTTTTGCCCCTCGACCTTGTACCTTGCTTTCTGTTTTGGATTGTACGTCTATCTCCGTATCTCCTGGTTTATGAACTACCTTTCGCCTTTTGACCACGATCTCGCCTGACGTTTCGGATTATACGCCTATTTCAGATATCTACCTGCTCCATCGTCTGCATAGGATCCGCATACCTTTTTCATTGGAGCTTCCTTTAAAAATCTTGTGGCTTCTTCCAAATAACGCAACAGTTTTTCTGTGCCTATTTGCTGTTTTGATTTGTGGAAAAGATTGTCAATCAGTGAATGTTTGACCACTAGAAATTTAGAGTGGGTCTATAAAGCTGCTCAATAAATTGGGGCGGTCTGAAACCAAACCAAAAGGAACGCATCTTCCCAGACGCACTTCCTCAGAGCGCACCTAATCGCCCTTTTGCGTAAACGGAAGGGTTTATCCCCAAAAATTAAATGGCAAGCAGAGCGCCGAAAAAGCCAAAAGACGGCTGCTCAGGTACTTGAAGAAATATATTCGGGCGATTCATGGGAAGACTAAGATGTGCATCTTCTTTTTCTGAAGACGCCTTTGATGAAGGACTGGACCCACTGCTGGATTGTGAGTATTTTTGTTTTGTTTATACAATCCAGACCTTTGCTATTATTAGTTATAAACCTCAATAACACCGTTAGATCGAACGTTATCTGTATATATGGGAATGAGAAATGCTTATTGGTTATATGTTGTGAATATGAGTGGTCTTTTTGAGTCTTATTAGAAACAAAGAAATATTAGATTTGCAAATATTGTTTTCTGCAAAGAAAGTCTTTGCATGTTTTTGTTTTACTGCAAATATTGAAAGGTAATCCTTCTGAGTCTCATGGACAATGCAGCCAAAGCAAACGTTTGGCTATTATAGTTTTGAGTATAAAGCTGTTATGTTTCCTTGTTGGCTGTTTACAAACCTCTGAAACTGCTGCTTTTTGCATCTTACAGTCTTCATAAAGTTCTTGGACATGATTTTAAAACACTATTGTCTGTGTTTTTATATTTCTATGCATATTTATTAGTTTTTTTTAGAAGATCAGAGGGGGTCCTTGGTCACCTGGCACTAAAGTGTGAATTAACACCCTTCTGCAATTATAGCCAGGCAAAGCTTGCTCATTCTCCAAAGCATTGGTCTGCAGCTCAATCATTACACATGTGGAGTGCTATCCTCTTGCCCTAACTTTGTCACCTAGCAACAAAGGCTGTTGGTCAGTAATAAAATCATGAAACTCATTCCTAGTTTCAGTACTTATTTCTAACTTCCTTTTGTTTATCAGTGAGGATATCAAAGAACCCTCCACCCCCTCAAGTGCTGAGATTCCTCTGCCAAAGAGAGGGTGGAAGATTCCCACTCCACAAGACCTGTTCAGGGCAGGAAGAGAAGAAGCCCCTCCACCAACGGAAGAGCCAGAGGACAGGTGGAAGATTGAAGCAGAGCAGGATGTGACATTGGAAAAGTTTAGGTTCAGTCCAGCATGGACACCAGGTGTCCAGCTGGACACTTCCAAAACATACTTCCCGTTAGATTTGTTACAGCTGTTTTTTTAGCATGGAAGTTATGTGCATACTGTGCAATAACATGAACAAAAATGCAGACAAGCAAAAGGCTCAGGGTTCAAAGTCAGAGTGACAGTCAGTGTCCGTAGTGGACCTGTATAATTATAGGAATTTTTATTTTTATGGGGCTCCTCACATCTCATAATATGAGACCCTATTGGAGTCCTAGGGAGCCCTATGATGTTCCTTTCTGCTGGTCGATTATGACCAGATCAAAATTTGAGGCAATATCCTGGACACTTCACCTTCCTGATCCAGAGGAGGACAGGGAAAGTGATCTAAAAAGCGGGACATCAGAATATGACCCCCTTTGCTGCCTTAGACGCCTGTTAGACTCCATCCTAACAGCATGTAAATCATTTTATCAGCCCTGATAGAATCTGTCTGTCGATGAAAGGATGGTGGCCTCAAAGACAAGAATAGGCTTTAGGCAGTACATGAAGGGGAAGCCCACTAAGTGGGGCTTCAAGCTGTGCGTGTTTGCTGATGCCTCCACAGGTTACACCTGTGATTTCTCAATCTATACAGGAAAATCACCCTTTGCCACCGGAAAAGGGCTGAGCTATGAATTAGTTCTGAACCTCTTGAAAGTTTCATACCTGGGTACAGGTTATAATGTTTACATTGACAATTTCTACACCAGCTCTGCCCTTTTCCGGGACCTCTTCAAAATGAAATTTGGTGCCTGTGGCATGATAAGAGAGAACCATGTGGGTTTCCCCCGCACAAAACAAAACATCCTAAAAAGGCTGAAAGGGGCTCCTTGCGCTGGATAAGGGCTGGAGAACTACTGTTCACCAAGTGGATGGACACACATGGGTGACCATGTGTAGTACCATCCACAAGGCATACAGTGGAGACAGTCCATCACAAGGTGAAAAAACTCGATGGGTCTTGGCAGGTTCAGGATGGTGTTGGGAATAGGAATGGCAAGGACTACAATCAGCACATGGGGGTGGATTTGTTGGATGCTCTTATAAAGGATTACAATTTGGCCCACAAAACTAGAACATGGTACAAAAAACTGTTCTTTCATTTCATTGATATTGTGGTGGTGAAAGACTCAATGTGAGGAGCAACAGGTAGTGGTTAAAGCCCAGGTTAAGGGGTGTTGGGGGTGAAAGCAGTGGATTGGGTCTGACTGAGCTCATTACTGACCTCACTGATGCAAACTCTATATGGGTTTGTGTACACGGGGTTGCCTTGGAGGCTACATGAGCTGAAGGAAAAGAACCCCTTTGTCATGTATCATGAAAACATCACCCACTGCATTTTAAAATAATTTGAACAAGAGCAATAGGGTACCGCTGGAGTTTATAGACTGACATAACTGCATGAGTAACTGGGAGAGGAGAGATGCAGTTCAGGAGGATTAGAGCTCTACAAGAACATATCCCCCACTCTCACAGCAGGGCCTGTTGTACCCAGTACAGTACTGCTGATCTAGAAGGCTGTTGATGAGCTTTTGAGCACCCAACTGAGAAACAGGTTCAGCCCTGGGAATAAGGGACAAAGAGGGAGGGTCTTTATCCTGAAGTGGTAACTTGTTTTACAATAGCAGACAATATAAAGAAACACAAACCCCATCTTCTGGTTCTGCTGCTGCTCCACACAGGTTCCACTGGGAACAAGGGGGGCCAGGAGCTCATGAACAGTAATCAGGGTTGTTGCTACAGGGTGGAGCTGGAGAAAGTTAGATGCAAAGTGTTCAAATATAACGCATTCCACATGCACCCTTATTCCCACATGCTCGCATTCCACTCATTCTCACATATCCAGGTGCACACTCTTTCCCAAATGCTCACGCCGTAAGTGATTAGCCTATCACTTTTCCCTGCCTTAACTATTTTAGTTCTCCTCTTCCCCCTGTTCCTCGCTCACTGTGGTAGTCTCCCTGAGCTCCTGTAGTGCGCATACTTCTCCAACTCCTTTCTTTTTTGGATTATTACTGACATTTACCTGTTTCGTGGTTTTTCACTCTCGCCTCTTGTTTTTGGATTTGTTTGCCTCATTCTACTGCCCTCTACCGTGTTTTGGACTTATTGCTTGTTTATTTGATTAAGAATTTTTGCATAGCGTTTTTGGACTTTACTACTTTTTTTTACTCTTCCATTTCTGATACCAGACTTGTCAAGTACTGAAAGCTTGAACTTCAGAGGAGTGAAACACAGGGGAGAACCCACCTCTCAAGTCCCAAAGGCCGGCCGCTATGTTTGCCCTGTGCAGAAGATAAAAAGCACAAGAAACAGAGAGCAGACCAGCTCCAGTGTGGTAAGCTCAGTACCTCAGTCTCAACTTCTAGTGGTCTCATGAATAAGATGCTGGCCTCTTATGCTAGAGTGCCATTTGGAGTGTTTTCTTTCTAGTACTCTGTTCTGAGTGTTCATCTTCACCATCTTCCTTTAGGAGTTGCTGTGTGTCTCTTCACGAACCAGCAGTGGAGTGTTAATATACTGTAAGGTCCAGTCATTGTGTCTGTATTAACCCCTCTCTCTCTCCAGAGGCAAGAAGAAAGATGGACTCTTTAGATTTGAGAAACAGGACTGTTTTGATTTGAGAGTGACACAGAGGGGTCCCAGCCTGCTCAAGTATTGACTTGTTCCTCCCGGTTCATCTCTGAAGTGCTCCCGTACTGCTGTGTCTGACTGCCTGCTCATCTCTGAACCTGGCTATGTTGTACTCCTGTTTGAACAGGAGGTTACCTAGAGCTTTGAAACCTGTTCTCCCTCAGAAACTGTCCGCTGAGTGAGAGGAGAGGACAGACAGGCTAGATGGGCTAAACTTGCTTCTCTTACCTATCTGTTCAGCAGCTACCTGATCCAGCAATCTGCTGTGAGCTGGATTAGCTACTGGATATTATAATGAGACTCACACTGGCACTGACAGAGCAGTCTGCGACTCTCCAGACTGGACTGGTATCTTTAGAACATGTGGTCATACTGGTCATAATGTATTGACGGATTAATCAGAGATATGTATGTGATATAATTCAGGACTACGATGTCACAGGAAGACAAAGGAGAGAATGGAAGTACTGCAGGTTCCAGAAATGTTTGTCAGCTGGAATGAGTACAGAGATTGAGTACCAGAAACCGGGCACTCATTCTCACTACCACAGAACAGTCAGCTGGCTAACAGTGGACAGCAGGCGCTGACCTGGGAGTAATATCAGTGACCCTGCTTGCCTGAATGTTGTGTGAGGACAGACACTGCAGAGAGAGAGATTAATGAACAGGACTCTCTCCCACTCTTTCCTTTTCCAGGGCTCAAGGTGAAGGACAGCTAGGGGGTGGGGGGGGGGGTTCTTACAAGAATGTGCGTGCAGCTGAGACATCTGTGTCAAGGGCATCCCTTGAACAATCTGACCCCTGAGACAACACCAGGCAGAGAGAGAGGAGCAGCTCAAACACTGCAGTGTATCTGATACACCATGAACAGGGGACAGTCTATGGAAAGTCACACAGGGTCCTGGCTCCGGGGTTGTGCTGGGTTGATAAGGGATGCTGTAGGTCTGAAAACCTATTCAGTACCAGTATGGAGCAGCATACTGCAGCAGTGATGTTAATGATTAGCTCCCAGTAAGAACAGGGATGACTCCAGCCAGTGATGGTAATGTGAGGGTAGTTCATACTGGGACTGGGAGTGTGTGTCGCTCTACTATCTGATCATAAAGTTGGGCAGGTAAGACAAAGAAGTCATTTGGAGGAAGAGGTATCATTCAGTGGGAGAAGACAAAATATCTCCCAAGTGGAGGCACAGAAGTTGCAGTGGGGAGAAAGCCATTATTAACCTCTCTCCTGCTGAGTGATTTTAATTCCCCCAAGGAGAAAAATCAGCATCCCTGAATTTTTTTTTTATTCTCTCCTGTGAGGAGCACCGCTCTTCCAAAGGGGTTCTCTTCTTCCCAGATCACAGATTATTCTTCCTGCACATCTCTTACACATAGACCAGACACACCATCTCCACTAACATCTTCACTATATCTATAGATCTGACCCGCTACAGCCCCGATATTCCTGGACAAGATATTTACCACCAGCCTCATGAAATTTCCTCTCTCACTCAGTGCAGTGTTAATGTTCTGTAGTGTCCAGTCAGTCAGTGCCTGTATTCACTGTCTCACTGTGTTTTCTCATGAGACTGAGTGAGTGGGTGGGTGTAGCCTTAGAGTGTTTGAATCGTGTGGCAGTGTTTGTTCACTGGTTTGTGTTTTCTTTGTCATTTTTTTGGGGGAAAAAAAAGGGTTTGGTAAAAAATTTTCATTCCATAGGCAGCTCTGGGGGCTCTGATCCTCCAGACTTCTCATTTGAGAAGCTTACGTGGAGCCATGGTGTTAAAATTTCCCCTGTGGAGTTCTGTCCACTGGAGAGGTGCATATGTACAGTTGGGGAGGTCGTGGGCTGCAAGATCAAGTCCGTTTCTTGCATGAGTGGAGGGATAGTTGTTTTCCTACAGTCTACTGATCTGGCAAACACCCCGGTGGAGAAGGGGGTTGTCTTGAACGGTACCTTCTTCCTGGTGCTGCCCTCTCCAATGTGCCTCCGTTTATATGGAACGAGCTGCTGGAGAGGAAGCTGTCCCTGTACAGACAGGTGGTCTCTCTGATGTCCCTCTGGGCTGCAGGGCACCACAGCTAAAGCAAATCATGTCTTTCTGAAGACAAGTGTACGTGATCTTGGTGGAAAAAAACCCTGGAAGTGATCAATGTGGCACTTAAATTTTGAATTGACAACTGTGATTATGTGGTATTCGCTACTTCGGAATTGATGAAGTGCTTCAGGTGCGGGAGCGAGGGGAACA